TTGGGGATCAGACGTTTCTTGATTCTGGCTCCGCGGGCTCACATTCCGATCATTGACAACGTTTTACCGCGCAATTGCTTATTATGCCGAAACACGTTTATGAAATGCCTTCTCAAATCGATTTATTGTACGGTAAACATTTTAGCAAATGCTTCATTGTTGGAACAATAAAATAAGACCAACAGATATTACAATAATTAGTTAAATAGAAATGATGGAATCCCTAAGTCACAAATTTTCTTTATTTTAAGTTGGCAGCTATTTCAAAATGGTACAAAACAACCTTGAAGCTTCTCTTGAGTAAAATTCTTAAGATCGACTTATATATGCCTTAATTGGCTATTTAATAGCCAATTTTAGTAATATTTTGAAAAGTGTACAATTCAAATTTTTTAACGTCCTTTAAGTCTAAGTTCTACCTAATCTAACACATTTCGGGGAAGCTTCCCTTTTCCCTTTGGTCGCCAAAAATTATAGTTGTAATATCCAAGACTTATTGTCGTATTATTAGATATTTTACCCAGCTAAATTCTAATTCGTTTATTACTTTAATGAAGTTAATGGTCGCCATATATCTAGGGAGTTATTAGGGATAGTTAATTACAGAAAAGTGGCATAAAATTGACGAAACAGCCCGTTGGATGCAGCTGAACCCGTCCCCGCTATTTCATTTTCGAATCGTTTTCCAAATTAACGACACGATCCTTTTCAAATGGCATCTAAACATGACAACAAAAATTACAGGTCCCTTTTCTTCGCCAATGGTAAACGAGCGTAGTTTTGTTGCTATTATCCAAATGGGCGAATTTTAGCGATTTTTATCTCACAGTAACATGTCGATCTCGTAACTAATTCAGTACTTATCTGATAAAATCGAATTGTGGTGTTTATTTGTGCACTTGTTATAGTATTTCTACTGTGCTAATGAATTAAGGGATTATTATGGATATATTATACAGTGTGTAAGAGAAATGTGTGGCAAGTTTGCAGAAACTGATAGAAAACTATCAAACATGAATATTGAGTAAATTTTTGTATGTCCGAATGTTCACCGTTTTCAATTCCATTTCGGCCCTGTCAAACTAATCGATCCGCAACGTTGCACTCAATCAGCTGGTGATTACCAGCATCAGTATAGTACTTGTTTTGTATTTTTTATTTGTTGGGTTAGATTAAGTGTGATTCCGAGTGTTTATGTTAACAGCCGACATTTAGTAGTCGTGTGTTGCACTAAATTGTTTATGTTTATCTTAGACGTTCGATAACCGGCAATGATAACGTTCTTCAACTACGTAGCTTCAGAGTTTTATCGCACTACGCTTTTCTGCAGATACCTATGTCGCCAATCCACGCACAGGACCGACTTCGGATTTAAATTCTTTTGATTTTCTTAAAAAAAAAATACACGCTGTTCTTAAGGAAGGAATACAGGCTCTCATCCAAAGTTTGGTTAACGGCTATAGGCACACCCTGAAATACATTCTAGGACTAAAAAAAAGCACTGGTCATTTATACCTACTCCCTAATTTACAGTAATTACTGAATCAAATCACAGAATATCTTCGAATTTTCTACGTCAGAGCCTGAAACTTTTCAAAACTACTATTACTCGCATTTTTTTTGCAGAAATTAAATGATAGAATCTTTTAATTATTCCAAAATATGTAGGTGCACGCGCTAACGTCGTTACTTGTTTTAAAGTTTCTTTATAACTGTGATTTAATGATAGTTCGTGTTCAATTTTTGAGCGCCTGTAATAAGCGTATCGATTTTTATAATAAAAACCACATCTTACTTAATACACTTTTTACGACTCTTAATAAACATCTCAAAACGCTGGGGCATTTAACGCAAAAAAAAAGTTGCGGGTCAGTATATACTTATGAATATATATGCTAGTCCTGTCCAGTTTGAGGATTTAATACGTACTTTCGTCGCAATCAAGGAGAGAGCATAATAGATTGGGAAAATAATGGGTGCAATCGTCGTTTTTAGGACTTCCTGTTGGCACAAGCCGTAAAATGCACGCAAACAGAATGGCACATTGTTGCAACTCATTTTATCCTCGAAGGGACCGCGTTGGAGCAACCAAAGAAATTCCGCCGACAGGCTCCGGATGTGGAAAAGACATTGTCACATATGGACGTGTCGTTTACTGAACAACGAACGGAAAATGTAACCAAAGAAACCACCTAACTTTGAATACTACCTCTACAGACCGCACAATTACGGTTTTTTCAATTCAACTTTCGTACGTCAGCTGTAACATTTAGCGAAATTGATGTCTTCTTTTGCGGCTTTCTTTACAACGTAATTATTTCGCTATAAATAAAGACCATTGATCTAGAAGAAGAAAAGTCATGGGTTCCTTTCAGAGTTAGAAATATTCTTTTAATACTAACTTCTTTCAGAGTAATTTGAAGAAAATAAGTAATATAGTAACTTGTAATATAATACAAATCTGATTTAAAAAGTATGAAACAAAAATTACTCTTAATTAATATATGTAGATGATAATGGTGGACGGCGCCGCCATCTTGGCAATCTGCTGCCGCTCCAGGGGTTGATTATAGTAATGATCGTGTTGGGGATCAGACGTTTCTTGATTCTGGCTCCGCGGGCTCACATTCCGATCATTGACAACGTTTTGCCGCGCAATTGCTTATTATGCCGAAACACGTTTATGAAATGCCTTCTCAAATCGATTTATTGTACGGTAAACATTTTAGCAAATGCTTCATTGTTGGAACAATAAAATAAGACCAACAGATATTACAATAATTAGTTAAATAGAAATGATGGAATCCCTAAGTCACAAATTTTCTTTATTTTAAGTTGGCAGCTATTTCAAAATGGTACAAAACAACCTTGAAGCTTCTCTTGAGTAAAATTCTTAAGATCGACTTATATATGCNTATTTTTGCGTACTTTATGTGTCTTGTAAAGTATAACGTACGCACAGTCGAAATAGAGTACAATACTTTATAATAAAGTACGGGTGGCAACCCTAGTCACAGCAGAGATTTATTACAATACTAAAAGTTTATCAAGAAAATTGCAAATCACTACCAATATGACAAATGTGATATTTTATTAAATGATAGGAAGAAATGTATTTCTTTCAGGTACTGGCACTATTCATACTAAAGAAAATAGTTTTTTTATAACATACAAAAGCGATATAATTATTTTTGAATCTTAAGAAATTCAAAATGTACATTTACCAAGCATTTCGAAGACCAAAAATTACCTTCAATTAAAAATTTTGAAACAAAAAACGCAGTTAATAATGTAAATCCTGAATTATCCTGAATTATCTGCCATTTTAGATACCGAAAATCAACGACTTCTATCATTATATTCACCCTTTCCCTACTTGAATACCAATATTTTTGTTATGAATGAAGCACTTTGACATTTAATAGTGGTTAGTGTCAAATATTAATGTGAAAATTCATTTTCAATTTNTTTGTCGTCAGTCCTAACACTGGTTGGACACGCACTTCGCATATATAAAGACAGGAACATATTTTGCGTTTTAATGATTCCTACCACTACGAAATCAAATTATAATGGTAAACGATTTTAAATTTGTTTTACTGATTGTTAACAATGCTTTTCCTAATGAACGATTTAAAAATTAGTAATTAGGTATAGACAAATAGATTTTATGTATATTGGTATTTCGGTTTATTGGGAAACTCAGCTTTCAGTTCTATGGTGCACAGTCGTGTTGTAGGTTAACCTCACTACCGTCACCGGTTTTACAAGTTTTACTAATAATTTAAGTAGTGTTATTCTTCCGGGCCCCATTATAATTAATGTAAGTAAATACTCTTATATTCTATTTAATAATATTAAATTTATCCTAATAATGTCTACATCCGCGTATGTCCATTTCCTCTTACATAATAATGGGTTAACTGATAGTAATAACTCAAATTGCCTTTCAATTTTTATTTATCTGAATTATTTTTTACGTTGCTTATATGGTATGTGTATTATGTTTTATACTCCGGTGGCCTCAGGCCACCAGGCCATAACGTTTTCGTGTTCTAAGATTAGCGTTTAGTGCCACATGGGCTAATCCTGTACTGCATATAATGATGGAGTTGCCGTGTATTAAATGCGAATTCTAATTACCTTATTATTAGGAAAAATTACGACGACCTACGCCATGCCAACGTATAATATCCTAGCAATATGGTGAACGTAATCACTAATCACTAACTTATACCTAACGATAAACTTGTGTTGTAGTAAACCGATTTAAAGTGCATCATCATAGAAAAACGCTTCATTCTATTTGATTGGCTCGTCAACGCTGTAATTATTCAACGGATAATTAGCTTCTTGTATAAGGAAAAGATCAAAACAACCGATGGCATAATTAGCGATTTACATAAATTTAAAAGTTAATTTGTAGTAGATTGTGACAGAAATGTATCTACATCGAAGAAAAAGCAACCAAAGTATTGTAATGTTCGTGGATTAACGTTTACTAACTTTTTAGACTGTTAACGACAAGAGTATTTATTTACACTAATTATTAAGGAACTTAAAACTCTATTAAATTATTACTAAAGCTAGGTGGTGAATTATTCTATTTATTTACATTACTGTTCATATATCACTATTCACTGCGCTATTTATTTCACTGCTGTCACTGTCAATTTATTTCTCGATTCACTTCTGCAACGGTCAATTTATTTTTACTCTTTCGGCGATCGTCTCTTCCTTTAAATACTCTTTTGCTTCTTTTCGGGAACCTTCTCGAACCGTCCGGAAAAGTTTCTTTTTCTTTGAACTGTTTAATTGCTTTCCCAGAACGCAGGTACGACACACACATTTACAAATACGGCGCACATGAAGAAAGGCGCCCGCGGCTAGTCGGCGAATCGATAAGCCGTTCANCATAATCGAAGAAGTTATAAAAGTTGATGTGGTAGTTCCTGAGATAGTGAAAGCGGTAAAATTTAAAAGCGACGGTGGAGAATCAGGCGATGATGATGGTGACGACGATGACGATGATGAAGGTGATGTCGGCGATATAGATCATTTGTCGGAAAGCACAGTTGTAATGCCATCCAAGCAAGAACCACCGCCCGATTACGGATCGCTTTTAGGATCTATTTGCGCACCGCCTTATCTCGAAAAAAATTATGAGCAACAATTAGATTTCATATTCAATCTGTTTACGCCTCCCTTCCAAATCATCTACATCTGCTGCGATCACGCTGACGTTATTTCAAGGCGCAACGCAAACAGATTCGACATTTATAACGGAGTGATCGTAAACAAGCAAGACGAGGAGATGGAACAGATGTTTTTCGACAATGTCTATTTCCCTTTGAACCAGGAGGATGTTCCGGAAGATATCTTTGCAGCTACCAAGCTGCGTCTCTTCAATTATCAATCGACTTTTCCTCAGCATTTATTGAGGTTGCCCAGTGATTTTCCTGCTAACGTTTCCGTTCAGTTGGGACGCTACTACACGTCTGCAATGCCGATAATGGAGTGCTACATTTTAGCCCACGACCCTGAATATTATCTAAGAGTAGACGGACGTTTGACTCCTAGTGCAATGTTCAGCGCAATCAAAACGCGGATTCGGATAATGCCGTTCCAGAAAGTAATAGTTCCTGAAAAGATTATACAGCCTGAATTGTATTTTGGTGGCGAAAACGAACCAATACCAGACGACGAAGATTTCAAAGGTATGACTCCTGAAGATGTCTATGACGATTTTCGAAAAAGGAGGATTGTAGCGCCTCTATACAAGTGGACGTGGTCCGATTGGAACTCGAAATGTCCTGTTGCAATGAAAGAGAGTGAAATTAAAGATGGTACAGCCGACCTTGCCGTGCATTTCTTTAACAAGCTTTTCTTCTTGTCCACCGAGGACGCGGTGACGAAATTCACCAGAAACCCGCGTCCTTTTCTTCTACCACCGTATCCGAAACCGAGCTGCAGGATATTCGTAATGGGTCCAAAATGTTCTGGTAAGTCAGCCGTATCAACGTGTCTAGCTTATCTTCTGGACGGTATCGTCATCTTTGTATTACCTATTTATTTACAATGTCCAATATAGTAATTAATATATAATTTTTATAATAGGAAACGGTTAGTATTAACGTAAAAAATAAAATGTACACAAAATCGTTTGAATTATATTAAGTAAATACGAAATTAACCCAAAATCCAAAGTAAAAAAATAAAATATGAACGAATAAACAATTAGGGATAATGGAGGTATAACATGCAGCCAAATTAAATAAAAAAATAATAACATTAAGAATTTGTTAGTTAAATAATTAATGCAAAAAATGTTGAAAATATTCACATATTTTTCAGAAATGTTTCATTTTTGCACTAAAAATTATTACTCTGTTAAAGTTGTGTCTATGCGTAGATCCTGATTTTTTTCAATTGCTTGCTTTTGGTATTGTATTAGAAGAAACAATTTAAAAGTGTAAATAATTTTCATTGGTTACAGAATGCCACCGAAAAAGAACCTCGAACCCGAAATCAAACCGATGATAGGGCGAGTGGGTACCAATTTGAAAGTTGGTATAGTTGGGGTCCCAAATGTTGGAAAATCAACATTTTTCAACGTTTTAACGAAAAGTGCAGCAGCCGCTGAAAATTTCCCATTTTGTACCATCGATCCTAATGAACATAAGTATACTTTTTATTTTATTATTAAATTAAAAATATGCGTGGTAATTTTGATACTAATGCATACTAATATCTTAACAAGATATAGTGGGTCCCTTCCCAACGAGTAAAATAATATTAGTTTAAATTTTTATTTATTTTTTTATTTCTAAACTGTTCAGTTACGATTTTGATATAATATTTTTATTTTCGTAAAAAAAATCATGCTAGTTTTTATGATCTTAAAGGTTTCTAACTTTTGATTTGAATTATATATATATATATATAATTCAANATATATATAAATGATAATTTTATTTACCTTCTGTTTAATGCAACAATTTCCTTTAAAATTATTTTTGTGTATTTTAACTTGATTTGGTGTTATCCCAAATCATAATAAGAATTTAAATAATTATTAAAAACCATATTCTATTGTTTCGTAAAAACAAACATTATAATTTTGACAAAATGTCAAGCAACAAGTATGTAAAAGAAAAACCGAGTTTAGACGATTACAAATGCGACCAAACAATAATTATAAACAGAAATTACTTAAAATACGTGTATGGTCTCAATTACAAAGACCCAGAGAACATACCACAGCAATGCAAGAAAAGATATCCTTTTACGAATTCGTATTATCGCCATACGGAATACGTGGACGCCCTGAAGAGGGTCACACATACTCTTGACTGTAAATATTTCCTTGAAGCATCGTCTACAGACTTGCTGATCGAAAGAGATATCTCCGCGTCAGACCCGTATTCGGAGAGGGAAGCCCAAATACAGTATTTATCAAGAAATCCTATATCGTTCTTGATTTTGGGCAAACCGGGTATTGGCGAACAAGAACTCGGAAGACTTTTGGCCGAACATTGGAATTGCGTTTACATCGATCCAGAAACGTTGGTTGTAGAAGAGATCGAGTCCGGAAGTAGAGCGGGCAGATGTATCGATTATAATTTACGTAGTGGCAGGGCCATCAATGTCGATATAATTTTGAAACTGATTGAAAAAAGGGTCAAAAGTAAAACAGCCAGGCACCGGGGATTTGTAATCTGCGGCTTCCCGTTAATTCCTAACGATCTCTACGAGGAAGATCCGGTCTCTTCAGAGTCTGCGTTGTTCAACGTGCGCGATATTTTCGAAGACATAATCGAAGAAGTTATAAAAGTTGATGTGGTAGTTCCTGAGATAGTGAAAGCGGTAAAATTTAAAAGCGACGGTGGAGAATCAGGCGATGATGATGGTGACGACGATGACGATGATGAAGGTGATGTCGGCGATATAGATCATTTGTCGGAAAGCACAGTTGTAATGCCATCCAAGCAAGAACCACCGCCCGATTACGGATCGCTTTTAGGATCTATTTGCGCACCGCCTTATCTCGAAAAAAATTATGAGCAACAATTAGATTTCATATTCAATCTGTTTACGCCTCCCTTCCAAATCATCTACATCTGCTGCGATCACGCTGACGTTATTTCGAGGCGCAACGCAAACAGATTCGACATTTACAACGGAGTGATCGTAAACAAGCAAGACGAGGAGATGGAACAGATGTTTTTCGACAATGTCTATTTCCCTTTGAACCAGGAGGATGTTCCGGAAGATATCTTTGCAGCTACCAAGCTGCGTCTCTTCAATTATCAATCGACTTTTCCTCAGCATTTATTGAGGTTGCCCAGTGATTTTCCTGCTAACGTTTCCGTTCAGTTGGGACGCTACTACACGTCTGCAATGCCGATAATGGAATGCTACATTTTAGCCCACGACCCTGAATATTATCTAAGAGTAGACGGACGTTTGACTCCTAGTGCAATGTTCAGCGCAATCAAAACGCGGATTCGGATAATGCCGTTCCAGAAAGTAATAGTTCCTGAAAAGATTATACAGCCTGAATTGTATTTTGGTGGCGAAAACGAACCAATACCAGACGACGAAGATTTCAAAGGTATGACTCCTGAAGATGTCTATGACGATTTTCGAAAAAGGAGGATTGTAGCGCCTCTATACAAGTGGACGTGGTCCGATTGGAACTCGAAATGTCCTGTTGCAATGAAAGAGAGTGAAATTAAAGATGGTACAGCCGACCTTGCCGTGCATTTCTTTAACAAGCTTTTCTTCTTGTCCACCGAGGACGCGGTGACGAAATTCACCAGAAACCCGCGTCCTTTTCTTCTACCACCGTATCCGAAACCGAGCTGCAGGATATTCGTAATGGGTCCAAAATGTTCTGGTAAGTCAGCCGTATCAACGTGTCTAGCTTATCTTCTGGACGGTATCGTCATCTCTCCCGATCAACTAGTGGCCGAATTCAAAGAACGAAAACGACAAGAGTATCTAGACAGAGTAAGAGCGTCAGCTTTGACAGAAGGAATAAAACTACTCGACGAACAGAGAGAAAGAGAATATGAAGAGGCTGAACGTCAGCGCTTCGAAGACATCAAGGAATTTCAAATTTTTGTACAACCTCTTCTTATTGGCCTCATGGAATACTACGACATTCTTCCAAAAGAAGAGGAAGTCGATTTATCCGCTGACGCTCTGAAGGATATGTCTTCGTTTGCGATAAAAATCGCCCAGTCGGTAGATAATAGGCGACAAAGGGAAATGGAGAGGATAAAAGGGATAATTGACGAATACGTAGAACAACTTACCGAATTAAATTTACCGTACACTTACGAGGAATGCAACAGATTATTAGAGAATCCAGAAGAGATAAACAATTATTTACCCGAATCGTTAGCTCAGCCCACGAAGAGACCTCCACCTTCTACTGTTTTAGATCAGTTTGTAATCGATTATGCCAACGACATTGTAGACCACACAACAGCTATAGAATTTGATGTTAGCGAACACGAAGCGTTCGGAATTTATGCCGATGCAATCAAAGCGATCGAAGACAGAAACGAATCCTTGGGAAATAATAGAGGAGGATGGATAATCGATGGCCTCTCTCTGAATTTAAACCTCGTAGAATTGTTTAATCCTGACTACATGGCCGACAACGTTTACATCCTGAAAGATGAACCGGACAATACCTTCCTCATGCAGAGATTCGAAACGAGGGGCGCCAATCATTTCAGGCACTTCAGGGAGTTGTTTCTGAGCATAGGAAAACCTGATGCAGCTTTGAGATCTCCCTCAACGAAATCGACGGATTCTTACAAAGTCAAAATGGCCAGTTATATTTTGGATGAAATTCTGGACAGAGTTCAGACGGTAGGGGAGCTGACGGCAGAAGACGACGAAAGAATTAAAGAAGAATATTTTAAGAAACATCCACGTAGAGCAGAGGCATCGGATTACGCAAAGCATGTTTTGGAATTTGAAGAGAAATTGAAAGATATTTTGGAATTTTTTGAATCGGCAAAAGTTCCCGTTACTATACTCAAAGTCACTGACAAACCGTTAGAATTCCTCCTCGTAGAGGCAATTAAAAATATCGAGGATCTCTTCAGAGTTTACGCCCAACAGATGACGGAAGCAGATCGCGAAGAAGAGTTACGCGACATTTTAGGCGAACCTATTGACGAAGACGAAGCCCTGGAAGAAGAGGAAGAAGAAGAAGAAGAAGGGGCAAAAGAAGGGGGAGAAGTGAACGAAGAAGACATTTTCTTTGCGAATCGTCGGTACGGCGATACGTACTGGTTTTGTCCGTATGTTTTCAAAAATTACTTTGTTCTGTGGAGAGGAAGAGACGAATACTGTGTAAAATTTATGAACAAGGTGTACCTACTGAGCAGCGAGGCTGCAATGAGGAAATTCATAGACGACCCAAGGAAATATTTACCGTTGCGTTATCCACCAAGGAAGTATCCACCGCCGAGAATATGTATCGTGGGTCCACACTCTAGTGGCAAAACCACTCTAGCGAGAACCCTCGCCAAAAATTTCGGACTCTTCAACGTTTCTTTAGATCGAATCGTTCAGAAGGTATCTCCCCTGGCATACGAAGAAGAAGAAGGCCTGGAAGAGGAAGAGAACAAAGAAGACGATGAAATCAAACAGATGGCGCACGTTCGCAACAAGGTGTTCGAAAAAATAAAGAACTACTGGTTCGCAGAACCCTACAAGAGTTTCGGTTTTGTATTGGACGCGTATCCTGCCGAAATGGACGACGCTATGAACATGCTTCAGAATTTCCTTATACCGGACGTGGTTCTGGAAATGAAGATAACCGAGGAAGAACTTCATCAGCGAATAATTGACAATAGAATCGACCAGTGGCGAAAAGAACGATACGAAAGCGTCCAAAGGCAAAACGAGGAGATCATTCGAAACTGGGAGATGAACCGGGAAAGACGTATAAAAGAACTGATGAAGGAACGCCGGGAAATCCGATATGAAGAAAAATTAAGAGAATTAGAAAGGCAGCAGGAGGCGGCAGATGCTGATACCGATGCTGCTGGTGAAAATGCAGCTTCGAAGTTACAGGAGACAGTCACAGAGAACGATAGCGACGCAGTCCATTCGAAATCTCAAATTAGCTACAATTCAATCGAGGAACAGGAAGACCTCGATATAGTTCTTCGGATTGTTGCCGAAGAAATTACCGATCCCGTACTTGTTCCAGAACCGCAGGAAACATTCGAAGAAATAGTACAAATCGTAACGCAAGATATCATGGGAGCGTATAGCAACGAAGTGCAACAGTTACAAATGATAAAGGAAGCGTTCGAATCGCAAATTATTCCCTGGGTCGATATAGACGCAAATCTATCGCCAGACAAAGTTTTTGCACAGGCCGTACGAGCTGCAGAAGACATAAAGCTCCGAAACCAGTCGCTTTTCGAAAGGGTTTATGATATCGATTTCGAATTGGCCGAAAGGCTTCTAACCGAAGGTTACTTCTTTACCAGCAAATTTGGAAAAACGTGTCCAGTTCAGATATACGAAGCAGAGAACACCATCCAAATGTACTTGCCGTTGGACGAAAAGAATCAGATATTCCCGGTGACACACAGAGATTACGTTTATTTCTTAGCTGGAAGGCGGAACAGGGATCTTTTCAGGAAAAATCCTCGGAAATACGTACAAAACAATGACGTACGGTTTCCTCTCATTCCATTCAAAGTGGGTGTTATAGGACCTCCAAAATCAGGAAAAACATCCTTGGCAAAAAGGTTCCGAAAAGATCTAGGATTGCTGAATATTACTAGAGGCGGTGCCATCCGCTACGTCCTGAAATATTTGCCCAATACCAAATTGGCCAAAGAAACAGATAAAATTTTACGTAAAGGCTGGTATTTACCTGACGAGATGGTAATGAAGTGTGTCAGCTCGTTAACTCTAAGTGGCAGAAGTTCCACGCAAGGTTTCATTGTTGACGGCTTTCCAGAGCGCATCGAAGAAGTCCACGAGATGATTAAATACCAGTTGCTCCCGTACGTTTCTTTCGACATGATATCTGACGAAGAGAAGATGTTAGAATTTATGCAAGACGCGCCTCCTCCTCCGGGCATTATGCCATGCAATTATTCGAAAAAGTTTATGCTATACCGTTATAACGTTTGGAACGAAGGACAAAAGCATTTCAGAAATTGGCTTGACAAAGAGTACCAGATTATCGCCAAACTGGAAGTGAACAAAACAATGTGGGGTATATGGGCAGAGGCATTGCAAATAGCCCTGTCGGTTTTGTACGAGGTGAAAAGTTATTACAAAAACGCTGGTAGTGATATGGTCTTGCATATTGCCAACATGTTGATTTCCCATTTGGAGTATTTAGAACGGAAAAGGAACAGATATTGGAGCTACTGTCCCTGTTGTCTGTACTATGACGACGCTTTGGTTACTGGAGGGGAACCCCCTGATAGAACTGGTCTTGTACAGTACAAAGAACATTTCTATTGGCTATGTCAAAGCCACATGCAGGAGTTTAGGGGCAATCCTAACAAGTTCTTGCCTCCATATAATAGTAAAATGATTCCTCAAGATCTGCCAGAACGGTTGCATCTGACCGAAAAGCCTGACGATTGCCATGAGAACGGCATTTGCATAGTGTGCTATTGGCTCAATCTGCCAAAGAGAGTTCTCATCGAAGGTTCTATAGACTTTTGCGTAAAGTACAAGGATGTCGTTTACCTTTTCGATTCCGCCACGTGTATGGAAATTTTCATGAAGCATCCTCAAAAATATTTTAATAAAACAGTAGTACCGACCAATCAGTCTGCGATATCTCTTGACGCCAGAAGTTTGCCTGTTATAGGCTATTTAGAACAGTTTGTTGCCCCTCAAGTGTTCAGCGCACTGAAAGTCGTGAGCAGGCTGAGGCCTGTAGTCCCTGGGCTAAGTATATCGATGTCAGCCGCCATATTCATTGGCCTTTACTTGAAAGTGAACAACCAACTAATTCCTGATAATTATCGAGAAAGATACGAGGAAGGTTTGGCGACGTATCAAAAACGAAGGACTGACTTGATTAAGTTCCTTGACGCGATGAAGAAGCGACATAATCCTCATTTGTATTACGAGGAACCCATTCCGAAATTCGTGGATCCGATATTGGACAAACCATTGCATCCTGCCATTACTGCAAGAAAACAGGAACAAGTGACTGAAATTTTAGAGCCAGAATCAATGAAATCTTCGTTTACCGAATCCGCAATTCGCATTCTGGATAACATTTTGGATCAAATTGACTATAGTGGTTACGATGGGTGATATGTACGTGATACATCTTTAGAAAATAAGTATTTATTTAATCTACTTATAAATAAACAATTTCTTAAAAATGTCTAGTATTTCTTCGAATGAATGATTTACTCAGAAGTTTTTAAAAAATATATTAATATATCATCATCATCATCATCATCATCATCATAAGGTCGTCAGTCCTAAGACTGGTTGGACACGCACTTCGCATATATATATATATATGTATTATTAAATCTCACCCAAGGAAAATGGCTTGTGGTAGCCCTTATTATCTATAAATGTGTCTTTTTAAAATTCAACCCTCCATTACATGTGTAACTGAATTCTTCGATCACGCACTTTTTTTGTGGATCTAAATTAGCTGACAGTATTTTTTCCAGCACGTCGGGTCCCAGTTCCAGATGAGAGATTTGACTATTTGTGCGAGTATTTCAAACCTTTAAGGTAAGTACTAGTTATTACTTTAAATAAATTATAATTTTTGAATGTGTGTCTTTATAAAAGCAAACATTTTCTATTGGGATCCGTCAAATGGGAGGAGCCTAAAAACATGGCGCCGATTAGGGAAAATTTATCGTAGTTCCTATAGTGTACCGTGTAATTTCCAAGTTTTTAAATTACGATAAAATGATAAGTATTGACACAAGATGTGATTGGGCTGACACAAAGCCTCGGAAAGGAAATTTCGTTGAAGGTGAGCGTGTTTTTAATGCCAATCACATTATAAAATTCGGAAATAACAAATCCGGAAGCTAGCCTTCAAATTCCGTCAAGTTTACTGCCTACTTTTTACAAACTTCGGATTTAAAAAGTGATTCACGTTATATAATTGGTGAGGTGATTCTGGGTGATTTAAGCAATATCATATCAATGACTTGCACGTGCAAAGCCGATTTAAGAGAACGTTGCAAACACATTATTGCAACTTTGTTGTATTGCAGCAGGTAGGTTCTTAACCTCAAAATACTTATATCGTATCATTAGAATTGTGTTAAATCAATTACACAGGAATAAATAATTTCTCACTTTATAATTTTAGTATGATTCTAGTTTTAAATATTAAGGTTATGGCTGATGGTAAATACTTGCTGAAATATAATCATGTGCATTAAAATGACGTGAACAAATTTTTATTCCGGAATTCACTTCTTTGATACCTACTGCTTTCATCCAAGCTTCTATTAGTTTACTTTTTTCTCTAATTTTCCGAATATATTTTTTACATATATAAAACGGTTAGTTTTTATTGGAAAGTAGTTAATGTAGGTGAAGAGTGAAGATCTATGTCTGAAGTGCTATTGCAGCTTTTCACTGAACATATTAACTTTTTATTTGATTTAACTTTAGAAGAAAACTTCGTCGACTCCATCATCAAAAAAATTTTTACTTTTTTAACGTGTTTTATTATTTTAATAAACAATTTTACAATTTGCGTGCACAGTTCCTATGTAAATTTTTCCCTCATTCGAGTTATAAATTTTGCCACCAGATGGTGTATGCCCATTTGACGGATCCCAATACAAAAAGGTATAACACGGATGAAATGGAATACTTGTATGTGACGGATCTAAAAATTTTCTCACCGTCTTCTAGGCGCCTTTAAATTGAATGCTCCGATTCCATTAATGGTTTGTTTGCCCTATAGGAACCATGTCGTTATAAAATTAGGTGTGCTTAAACCTAAATATCTACTTAATGACGTTCAAAATAGGGGGCGTACCGTTTTAGGTAATTTACCTTTAGCAGTTGTTTGGGTGACAAAAAAAATCACAAGATTTCAAGCGACAGTAAAAAAGGCAAATTGGGCATTTTATTGTAGATGAGGGTACCTAATACTTATTTCTTTCGCCAAAGGAATATCACAGGGTATAAAAATTTAAAAGGAAAAAAAGAACATCAGTATGAGATGATTGCATACTTCTTTTTCTTTTCTTAGTACGAAGAAAAGTTAACAAATCCAAAAGCACTGCGTATTTCATTTAGTATGGATTTATTGTTTCAACTTTGTCAAAACTACTTTAGTTACGTTATAGTGTGAATTAGTTTACAATTGACAGTAAACATTGATATACAGGGTGTTTATGATGTAAGTAGCAAGCATTAAAAGGTGTCAAAGAGAATCGCATGGTACGTACAGTAGCGTGATTAAAAAACAAATAAAATTTGTGAGAATACTACAAGTAGCAATTTGAAGCCAGTCCTGGGCGTGAATTGACACCGGGTTGAGATAAGGACCCAGAAGCCTCTTACAATTAATCTAATCTAATAAATAATAAACTATACAAGAGCAAAAAAATACAAAAGAAATACAACATTGATTCTGCTAGTTACCAGCCGATTGAATATGGCATTGTGTTGTCGCATTCCTCTCCAGGGCCGGAGTTAGATTTGCCCGTACTTTCAACCACGTTTTTCCCGAAAATGCAGAATTTTCGAACCTGTAAACATTACATAATTTTATCATACTCCTGTAAGGTTGCCACTTATTTTAGAAACACCCTGCATAACCAATAATAATTTATTTGTTACGTTATATGGAGAGTTTAGACACGATTATTTGATATTTCGATAGAACGAAGTTCTTCCAAATTCACTTTACTCAATCGTTTTCGTTATAAAGAACCTATGTAGAGGAGAATCTAAACAATCTGGCAGTAGAAAGGCGAATTATGCATTTTCATCTATTTAGCATAGTCCCCTTTGATCCCGAAGCTAATGAAAAGCCCCTTTATGGACCACAACCGCTTTCAAATACACTCCGAGCCAAAATACAGTCTGTGACAAAAAATATTGCTTCACATAATAAAAGTTTCCTTCTGTAATTTACTTGCTTTCAAATTTACTTCATCATTTTGAAATGGGAAATTTCATTCTAAAAACCATTTTCTAAAGACACTGCAAAAATTATCAAAGGGATTTTTGCTAGTTAGCCCTTTGTCGTCGCGTGTGATTCATTCCAAAAATAAGCAAAATTTTGCAAATTCACGCAACATCGGTATGTGAAGCGGTTCAGCCCGTGGTTATACAATAAGTCGATAGAGTTCACTTCTAAAATATAATTTGTGTTGTTCAGTTTATTTTGGGTCGTACTTTACGTGCCGCCGCCGGGGAAGCACCTAATCAAACTTGCAGATTTCGTTGGCGATGGTACAGAAATGCAAATAGGACGTCGTCTTCGTATTAGCGACGCTTTTCCCCTCGATTTTACTTTATGGGGTTCGGGGAGGAGCAAGACTCTCAACCGTAAAAAAAGAGTGCCGGATATTCAAATGCATTTTTCCACAAAATTCACGACGAAAATGGCATTTCTTTCCGACGGAACATAACTGCGACTCTTGCGAAAATAAATTAACCGAAACGAAAATATTGTGTGGACTTTTTTAGAATTCACGTGCCTCCGTATTCCTTAAAATTGGGACCATCAGAATGATGTCTGTCTACGTATAACATTATAAAGATATAAAATGAACTGGATTGATAATAAGGGTTGTTTATGGTTGATTTTGAAGTCGAAAAAGAGTAAATATGAAGTACAGTACTCGCACGTTAAGGTGACACAAAAGCAATAAAAGCATGGCGGCCAATGGAGTGGTCGTCTACCATGTAGTAAATGTTAGACTTGCACTTAAAAGATTACACAGATCTGCGATAAAAAGGTTTTTTGTATAAATTTATCTTAAGCATGCAAAATAATTTGCAAATATAAACTTTGTTTTAACGTATCACGTCACATTTTTTTTGTATGTAGATTAATATATGTATATATACATATGTAGCTCTTTGAATCGGCAAATTTATTTGTTTTTTCACAAAATTCATTTTATAGCTTATATTTCTATTTAATACTCTCTGACTGAGCATTATATTGTCTTTTACTTTATTTTAGATAGTCTGAAAGTAACTATAGTCGTTTACACCGCCTAAAAAAAAAATAGTTTATAGCGCGCCATTATTGAGAGAGATATAATATTAACGTGTAATAAAAGATTGTGTTTCATTTATCTTTAACTATGGCTTCTCGGAGTTGTAAAAACAATTCAAATGTATTTTTTTACATTTGCGGACAATATACAATAGTTAAGCAAAGATTGAATATAACAGACTTTGTAAAAAATGCTTATTAAGCTTACTTCAGAATGAAGTTGTGTCACCAAGATAAACACTGGGTTACGATAAAATATGCCGGTTATGTGTTGAAGTGTTAAGACAGTGGACTTATGGTAAATCAAAATCATTGTTATTCGGTATTTCTATGTCCAAATTAGAATGCAATTGGAAGTCGGAGTGAAAAATGTCATCAATACGAGTTTGAAAGAAGAAAGTATTGCTTCCACCACTTTACATTAAACTTGGTTTGATCAAACAGTTTGTAAAGGCATTTCGACTTGACCAACGGTGATTATTTCATGTTTAGATATCGAGGTCATGATTTATATAGGTTTTAAGCATATAAAAAAATCGTAAGGACACAAAAAATTACTTTTTAAGAAAAAAGTCAATTCAAAAATCACGTTTTTTTTGTTTATTTTCGATTTTTCCATGCTTTAATATTGTCGGAGGTATTTTTAACCAACACCATCGAAAAGAGCATCGTTAAAAACATAGAAACACTGGTTATCGAATATTTTTTCGTCGCACTCATTACGTGGCAAGGGTTCAAATGGAAATGTGTTCTCTGAGCATTTATGGGTTAATGTGACGTGGTATAAACCATATGAATATCGTTTTCTATTACTTTTAAGACAATTACGACAAATATTAACAATTTAAGAAAAAAACTTTTCAAAAAAAAATTTCGCAGACCTGTGTTATTAATAGACTTTCTTTGACTCTATAACGGTTTCTTATAATTTCAGTAAAGTGCCAGCTTTCCTGAATGTCGTGGACATTGCTGGTTTAGTAAAAGGGGCGTCTGAAGGACAAGGTCTTGGAAACGCATTCCTTTCACACATAAGCGCGTGCGACGCGATATTTCATCTTTGCAGTACGTTTCATTATTATTTTCAGTGTGAATTATGTCATGTAATATGTAATGCACATTTAGGAGCTTTCGAAGATGACGATGTCACGCATGTCGAAGGCGACGTTAATCCTGTTAGAGATTTGGACATAATCGCCGAAGAATTGCGTTTGAAAGATGAAGAGATGCTTATGAAAAATTTGGAAAAGCTTGAGAGGACGGTTGTTAGAGGGGGTGATAAGAAAGGGAAAGCCGAATATGTGAGTACAATTTCCACTATTAATTTTTTAGTATATAACCAAAAAGTACAAAATTTCAGATGTTATGGTACAAGCGAAAATTAATTTTACGAAAATAAAAGCACTTCTAAGTATATACATTAAAATAATAATGATTTTTGCAACATTTTGCGTACCTCTATCTAAACATTTTTTTTTATTTATGAGACTGTATGATAACATCTAGGCGGTATTGTGCCTATCCACTAGGATGACCTAGGATTAACACCATCTTAATGGAATCGGGGACCACCAGCGGTGTGTGCCCAAACCTTTGGGCATGCATCGATTTAGTGCACATTAACTGGACCCCATAATAATCAGTCCTGGTATATTAAACAAAGATAACAAAAATCCTTTAAATATTTAGAATATTTTCTGAAAATTATTACTTATAAAAAATAGCAAAATTCAGAGGGAAATACAGAAGTCCTGCGTTTGTGTTAAATGATGATGATTTATGAAAATATTCAATGTTTGTATATATTGCAAAAGAATGGGAATTGGTGATTCTTCTGCCGGCTTACGATCATTTGCTAACTTCATACTTTCACATTTTCAATAGACGTGCGTCCGCAACCAACTGCTAACTTCATACTATTGCATTTTCGTTACCTGTGCGCGCGCAATCAACTGCTAACTTCATACAATTGCATTTTAGTTGCTACTTATTTGCCGGCTGTAATTGTAAAAAGACAAGCTTTTTCGAGGAAGTCTGAATAATCACGATGCATAATTAACGTTAAATTAAATGCTGGGGGATGTTTGCCAGTTTATTACTTTGAATCTCGAATGCCGCTGAAGTATGACTGAAATTCGGACATCCCCAGAATAATTTCGAAAAACAAAATAGTATTCTATACCAGGTTCCAGTTAATGTGCAACATTACCTCTATTAGCATATAATAATGTTTTCGTCGCATGTCGTACAATCTTTTATTGAATGCGATCCGTTACAAACAGTTGTTACCACCACAGGCGAACGAAAATCGAGACGAAAGGGCCACGTGTGATTTGACAAATTCTTATGCAAAACAGGACGAAGAACACGTATAGAAAAAGAACTGACAATCACCGACTTTCAGCTTCTTCTCTATCTCTCTTTCATTCTTCTGCCTTTTGACGACGCGTTTTCGTGGTAATATTGTTCGTGTATCAATTCGAATCAATTAATCAAAACGCCCCGCCGGCACCAGTCGAAATGGAGAAAAGGTTTGACAAGTTCTAGGTGATTGTTGAATGAAACGAAATAAAAAGCTCAGTCATCGTTCAGAAATATTATTAGGTGATACACGATACCTTTTGTCGAGACGCAGGGTCGGCGGAAGACCTTTTGGGAGTATCTATAGCACATGAAAATATTTCCAATAAAAAATAATTCCAACTAATAAAGATCGAATTTCGTACNGAAATACAGAAGTCCTGCGTTTGTGTTAAATGATGATGATTTATGAAAATATTCAATGTTTGTATATATTGCAAAAGAATGGGAATTGGTGATTCTTCTGCCGGCTTACGATCATTTGCTAACTTCATACTTTCACATTTTCAATAGACGTGCACCCGCAACCAACTGCTAACTTCATACTATTGCATTTTCGTTACCTGTGCGCGCGCAATCAACTGCTAACTTCATACAGTTGCATTTTAGTTGCTACTTATTTGCCGGCTATAATTGTAAAAAGACAAGCTTTTTCGAGGAAGTCTGAATAATCACGATGCATAATTAACGTTAAATTAAATGCTGGGGGATGTTTGCCAGTTTATTACTTTGAATCTCGAATGCCGCTGAAGTATGACTGAAATTCGGACATCCCCAGAATAATTTCGAAAAACAAAATAGTATTCTATACCAGGTTCCAGTTAATGTGCAACATTACCTCTATTAGCATATAATAATGTTTTCGTCGCATGTCGTACAATCTTTTATTGAATGCGATCCGTTACAAACAGTTGTTACCACCACAGGCGAACGAAAATCGAGACGAAAGGGCCACGTGTGATTTGACAAATTCTTATGCAAAACAGGACGAAGAACACGTATAGAAAAAGAACTGACAATCACCGACTTTCAGCTTCTTCTCTATCTCTCTTTCATTCTTCTGCCTTTTGACGACGCGTTTTCGTGGTAATATTGTTCGTGTATCAATTCGAATCAATTAATCAAAACGCCCCGCCGGCACCAGTCGAATTGGAGAAAAGGTTTGACAAGTTCTAGGTGATTGTTGAATGAAACGAAATAAAAAGCTCAGTCATCGTTCAGAAATATTATTAGGTGATACGATACCTTTTGTAGAGACGCAGGGTCGGCGGAAGACCTTTTGGGAGTATCTATAGCACATGAAAATATTTCCAATAAAAAATAATTCCAACTAATAAAGATCGAATTTCGTACTTTGGCTTGCACTTATGAAAATACCATAAAATGAACATAGAAAAGCGCTCGTGAAATTGTTAGGAGATGGAAAGTATTTAATGAGCTTCGAAAAGTGATAGATACTTATGTAAAAACATTAGGTAGAATCTTATGATGCAAACTGTTTTCGAGTACGATGTCAATCAGGTTATTTATGACATTATTTTTGCTAAAATTTACGTAATAATTCAAACATAAAAAAGCGCTCGTGAAATTGTTTAGAGGTGGAAGGTATTTGATATGCGTTGAAAAGTAATAATTACGTAAAAAAGTACGTAGAATCTCATGAAACCAACCGTTTTCGAGTGCGATGTCATTTAGGTAGCTTCTGGCGTCATTTTTGCTAAAATTTACGTAATCATTCAAACATGAAAAAGCGAAATTATTGGGAGATAAAAGGCATTTCATAAGCGTTAAAAGTGATAATTACGTAAAAAAGTACGTACAATCTAATGGTATCAACGGGTTTTGAGTGCGGTGTCAAATAGATAGCTTCCGGCGTTATTTTCGTTAAAATATGTAAAATAATAATTGCAACCAATTATACATCAGAATTTGAATTCGTCCACTTCGTTGCAGTTGTTTAGTTCCACTTCTCGAATTTTAAGTAAAATTTTGGATTAATTGATAAGTTCGTGGACATCGAAAGTAAAAGCATTGGCTTGTTTCGTTTTTTGGTTAATGTTTAATTTAATATATATATATTTTTGTA